ACTTTCCCCGTAGCCATGTTGGAGGGAGCCCAAAAAAAAAAAAAAAAAGAATTGTTTGACTCATTGGGCTCACCTCGTTGGGTTGGTCGGTGTCGTTGGACGAGCAGGCGGCGGCGATGACGGGGTAAACGTCCGACCAACCTTGCTGGGTGCACTTCCTGCTCAGGTTACCTACGACACATCACAGGAGCAGTTGATGATGTGAAATAAAATAAAGCAAAACAATCTTCTTCCCAAACATTAACAGTATTGGCTCACACTTGACGTACATAAGACAACAGTTGGCGAATACCTGCCTAGTTAAGAGAACAGAAGCTAACACTTAGCAAATAACTGCCAACAGTTAGCAAACATTGGCTAACAATTAGCAAATCACTCCGAACGGCTAATGTATTGACGTTGAGAGTTAGCGACTTAATTACCCGCCAAAAGCTAACATAGAGAAGCTAACAATTAGCAGAAAGTGGGCCACAATTAGCAAATATCTACTCATCGTTATCTCTGGAGCTATGAAGATAATGCTGACTAAATTAGCATCGCGTGCTAACGACTTACCCTTCTTCCCAAACAGGTGCTGGAGGGGCGCAGGGCAGGGTTGGGTGACCACTTCGCCCACCGCCGCGCTGCGCCAGCATGAAGCGTTGTCCCACTCGCCAACGCATCCTGAGAGATCCACGAAATAAAAAACAATGAACGCAAAGTGGTTTGAGCATTTATTCTTGCAAGCTGCAAACAAAGAATAGTAAATAATCAGCGATGGGGTAAGTGTGCAGTGCACCTGCGGGGGGCGCTGTTAACTCCTGCAGGCCAGCATGGCACTCTTGACTCGCTCTCTTCATCTCCCAGCTAAAGTGGCAACGAGGAAATCTGCCCACCGCCTGCCGGGAGACCAACCAAAGGAGAACAAGATTTGGGAATAAGTCAAAAGTTCATGTTGAGAAACGCCACTGCCGCAGCTTTGTGGACAAAGTTCACCACTGTGATAAAAAAAAAAAAAAAAAAAAAAACCTTGCACAATATGTCTATAATTCTTCACAAGCATGATGCAGAACATTTTTGAAACACAGAGAGAACTGTTTTACTTAAAAGAAAACAAAAAAAAAAAGCAGAATGCAGTTTGTGTCATTTAATGTTTTCCTCGAAAAGAAAATTTGGCGCTGGTCAGGTAAACACAGCTGGCATCAGAAAAAACCCGTCTTTCCCCACAATTTACTCACTTTTGCACTCTTCTCACACTCTCTCTCTCACACACACACACACACACACACACACACACACACACACTGCAAAATAAGAACTGAGCTGATTGAGTCCGTCTGTCAGATTAACTTCACCGTTAGTTCCTGTGTGTGTGTGTGTGTGTGTGTGTGTGTGTGTGTGTGTGTGTGTTCGGGGGAGTGGGAGTGGGGAGTGGGGGGTCGGGGTTAGGGAGAGGCTGTTTACATTAAGACTCTGAAGCATTTATGAGCTGTCAGGGTGTTTTCAGTGCGTTTACCACACACACACACACACACACACGCACACACATACGCGCACACACACACACACGCGCACACATTCATTAACAAAAACAACTTCGGTTGAAACAACAAGAGGACAGTCGTTATCAACGGCGTATTTTCATATTTTACACGCATTTGAACAGTTTGTTGACTCCCGTGTGTGCTTTTGGGTCAAAACGATAACATGGAGAAGATAAAGAAGATGAAACATTAACCAGACGCACTGGCAGCCATACCACAACTTTGTCACATAGTTGGACACTTCGCGCAGTGCATGGAAGTGTGATGTCATCGCGCGTGTGTACGTGACGTCACAGCGTATGGCATGTGGCACGTGTACGAGGTGTTAAAATCCATGAAAAGCCGAGATGAGAGGACAATATGACTCTAAAACGCATGAAAAGAATGACCGCGACATCAGAAGGTGATACCATAGCGCAGGGGCCGAATGTAACTAACTTCCAGTCATGTGAGATTTTAAAATGATGTCATGGGAGACAAAGTTACAAGTGCTGGAGAAGTTAATGTCACAGCACATGAGAATATGATGCGAGATGAGAATACGATGAACCAACCTCATGCGTGAGGAAGACGAGCAACAGGATAAACCTCATGATCTTGTCATTCAGCGGACCTGCGGACTTCCAGACTTCTTCACATCCGTGCCTGTGCTTGTTCCGGAATGCACGAGTCCTTTAAAAGTTGACTCGATGGACAACAAACCCCAAAAGTTTTCCATGCATGTTCCGTGTCGAGGAGCACAGAGGTGAGTACAGCACACATGAGCAGCTTCAACTGCAGCTCATTGCAAGAGGTGCGCGCGCTCGCCACACGAATGGGAGTCACGCGCAATCCCGCCTTCTGGGCCACAGCGACCTCTGGTGGACAAAAGTGCATTTTAAAAAATGGCCAAGTATTCATGCAAAAGTCAGGATAGTAATGAAGGCTATCCCATCGCAAATATAGCAAGAACATCGTTCAAATAGCTGCACAAAAATACAATTTAGCCAATATTTGCGGCCTCACAATCCGAGATTTGACCCTTTCTTAATCAAAATGTATTAATTTTAAGGCCTATAAATTGACTGAAGTTGAATGTGAAATTGGGCATTGCGGACGTTTTGAGATAAAGTCCATGTCTTTATTACTGTTCTTGAGTTATAGTATATTGGTACTCGTAAACACCGGAGAGTGCAAAAAAATATCGAAATGCATTACAGTCGAACATAAATATCTGGCTTTTAGGGACATTTTGGTACCTGTTGAGCTCCAGCATGCACATACCTGGTACTTTGTCGGGCTGCCATCTTGGAAATGTGCGTGGCCCGCCCGAGTGCGATTTTAAATGTCACATTTTGTGCTTTTATTTTTCTTTCACTTATCTGCACCAGTAAAGTAGCTAAAAACATGGTGTAAACAAATCAATCAATTTAAAAAAAAAAAAGGCAAAATGTTTCAAATTGTGACATCTTCTTCTTTCGAGTGGTCACATGATCACAAGTACAACTTGAAGGCGGAGTCTCTTTAGCCAATCAAAGCACTTTATTGCACTTGTTTAGTGTGACGTGAGCCAGTAGACGACTCTTATAAAAGTGTCATTTCATCTTTTTGAAGTCATGTGTACAAAACAAGTCACACACATTTGTACCGTACAAAATCAACACTATTTACATACAATACACTCTCAAGCACACACACACACACACACACACTCTCTCACAAACACACTTGATGGGACGTCCTTTGTCGCGCTTGAACACACACGGCGGCTAAAACTGCTAGCATCGCTGAACTAGCTGATATGCATAAAGACATCCTCCCTTCCCCTTCCTTTCGGTGATGAAATAAAAGACTTGATGACACATATTGAAAATATTCTACATAATCTGCGTCACAGTCCGCGGCATACTGCTAACTACGCTAAACAGCGCAAAGCTAGCCAACACCAACACCTCCACCTTTTTGGGATGGACTGACAATATTCAAGTTTTTATTTGTAATAAATATTCATCTTTAATCTTCTTCATCCTTTTCTAGACTTTGAATAAAACATCTGAGTTAGTGCACGTAAGACACAGCAAAGTGTTTTGTAGCAAAACACGCAACCACACAACTACTAAAGATACTCGTCTTGGTCAAAATGATTTCAAAGGTGGTAAGGAGCAATGAACTCATCAAAGTTAGTGTTTCATTTCATTGTAAAAAGGTTAGTGTTCAACAAAATGGGGCAATATTACGAAGACTAAAAACAGATCTTTTGCTGTGATGCAGCTTTTTAAAACAACAAGCCAACTGCATCAACTGTTTTCGATGGGGAAAATATTTGCTGGCAAAGGAAATTAGGACAAACTAGTTTTTGTTGTTGTCTCAGAGAAAATAAAGTGTAAGCCGCCAAAGTGTGGACAGCCTTCACTTTGTTAAGAGTGTCGCACATACAACTTTGGGGTATCCTATTGCTACAGTGTTAGCTTAGCCCATGGGAATGAAATGGAAAGATTTCATGTCAAAACATCAATATCAACATTTTGTTTTGTTATAAGCAGACACCCATGCAAAACAATGCTCTCCTTGCCCACATGCGGGGGGCATTACACTAGCAAATCGTGCCAGCCTTCCCATTCCTCAGAAATGGAATTCAAAAGAGGAAAAATAGCATATTGTAGTTTCCAAGAACATTGTGTAACAACATAATTAAATAGAATGTAAAGAATAAAACAATGTCTTCATTCTGATGAAATGCTGCAATCGAATTCATTGTGCTGCTCCTTCTGGTGTGTCCGCCTTGACCACACGGAGGCAGTACAGTACCACAATCATGCAGAAGAAGAGTACTTCTTCTACTCTGACTGCTGTAATATTCTTCATTTTTTGCAGAGGATAAAGAATATATGTGCCCGTGAGTATTGTTACATTTTTTGTTTACATAAACATTTGTGTTCAAGTTTTCCAAAACCACAACTGCTGTTTTAAATACCGAAGGTGTCATTGTTTTTGTTCTCAGTTTAGCTTTTGAGTAAACTTAAGATGGGATTGGCATGAAACAGCTGGAAGCCTTTTTTTGACAATTTTTTGCTTACTGGGGAGGTGCCGCACAATACTCACATCTCAAGGCACCACTCTGCTTAAAAAGAGTAAAATCAACTGATTTTGCATGATGTCCATTTAAAAAAAATCCTCCAACTTGCAAAAATTCCTGGTTTATACCCAGAGAAAGTTTCCGACTCCAAAATTAGCGCAATTTTACAACCGTAGTTGATGGTAGCTGAAATCCCTTCAAATTCCCACTGAAGCGACACCAAATGTCCCTGTCTCACTCACACACACACACAAAAACACACACATGCGCACACACGCACACACGGGGTCTGCTGGGGTGGTGAGAGGGCTGCATATTGGGGCTACTCGACACCTCCTGGTCTTTACGCTTCCTCTCCATATAGATTGTTATGTCAATGTACAATATTTATATTTTTTACAAGAGGCTCCTTGCGGGTTTCCCCTCCGTTGCCACGAAGCTTCCCTGGCGGCGGTCACGCGCACGACATCAGCGGCGCGCTCAGTCAACTAACGAGGGACAAAAGCGACAAGTGGAGATCACACACACACGCACACGCGCACACACACACACACACACACACACACACACACACACACACACACACACACGCACGTGCACGCTACATGTTGTAGGCCACGTAGATGGGGTCCAGCTGGTCCTGCAGGAAGCCGTCGCGCAGGTGCATGCGCTGCTTTTCGCCGCGCGAGTTGATGGGGATGACGCCGATGTCGGTCACCACCACCACGCCCACGATCAGGTAGTGCTCCTCCAGCACCGCCTTGGTCACCATGGGAACCAGGTCCAGCGCCTCCTGCTCCGAGCCCTCCAGCTCCACCACCACCACCAGCAGGTTGGTCCACGGGAACACGGCGCTGGGGGAACAAGCGTGTGCCCGTTAGGTAAGCTGAGCTGCAACCTTGCGCAATATGTAGAGGGCGAACAAACCACAGCTTATACGCACCCGCGGCATATTGCCGAATTGAGGCGAACTTTTTCTGAGAGTAAGCCTGCGCGTTCACAGTTTGGCGGTAATACTTGCGTATGTGCACTATTTGGGGCGGGGCTTGAGTTGAGTCGAGTTACGTCTAGTTCAGGCACATCGCACGACGCGCGGTCAGCTTGAGGTATGAGGGCATTAAGTGAGGCGCAAAGGTGGCGACGCACCACTCCATGATGCTCTTATGCGCGCGGATGACAGACGTCTCGATGTCGATGGGGTGGTAGCGCATGCCCCGCAGCTCCATGGCCTCCTCCAAGGCGCCCACCACAAACAGGGCATCGTGTCTCTCTGCCGCGCACACACACAGCGGGCACGTTGGAAAACTTCTCATGGACCACACTTGAGTTTTGAAAAGCAGATCGTAAAGGCGGCGAAGGCTAACCTCCGTTGGCGTCGGTGAGCTCGGTGCGGCGGAGGAAGCCCAGATAGCCCGTCCGGGCCCAAACGGTCTGCGTGTCGCCGAAGCTCAGCCTGGAGTTGAAATGGTCCGACTGCAGGACCTCCTCGCCGTAGCCGCTGTAGTAGCCGCTGCCGTTGTGGGCGCTGTGCACCCAGATCTGAGGCGAGAAGAACGAGGAGAGAGGTCAGCCCCGCCACCGGGTGGCAACGGCCACTTGCCGCGACGGGTCTGATGATAGCACCTCTCCCAGGTGCGAGTCCCCCAGAGGGCCTTTGGTCTCGGGGTTGGCGATAATGATGCGAACTCCAGGCAGGATCTAAAAAACACCAAGAGAGAGACAGATGTGGCGTTGCCATGGTTAGTGCCACAAATTCATCAAATGCGGGTTATGCTGAAACATAAATAAATAAATAAATAAAAAAGGCGGGGTCTTCTTGAGTGTGGAGCGCACGCGCATGCCGTGTTTGAGAATGGGCAGCATGCTCGGAGCTCTCGTATGTGCAGACGAGCAGGCGGGGCGAGGAGGTTGTTGATCACAGATGGACTTGAGTCACTTGACTGTGTGAGGACACGTCGTCCACGCCGCAAATACTCTTGGCATTTAACTCTTGCTGGGAAAATGGATGGCGTCCATTTTTTTCAACAAAAATCTCAAATATCTCTTTTCGACTGATCCACTCGACCGAGCAGCAAAAAAAAAAAAAAAAAAGATTCTGTGCGGGTGTGCTCACCTTTCCGGATTCCATCAGAGGCAGACTGTGAGGAGATCCTCTCTCCACCAGACGCACCCTGAAATACGTGCACACGCGTGTTGATGCTCACACGCCTTTTCAGAACCAAGAGGAGACACTCGGACAAGAAAATGGTCTGACCTGTCATGGCGTAGCGCCCTCATGTCCACATAGACCGTGGTGGGGTCCGGTCCTGACGTGCCCTGCACACGATGAAAATAAGATAAGCCAACATTTACGCTACAGTCAACTTTTGCCAAATAAATTAAGTGAAAAGACAAATCTGTTTTAGCCTTAATTAATTAATTAATTAATTAATTAATTAATTAATAACGAACAAACGAATCAAAACAACTGTGTTGTTATATGTGTGCTTTAATGGGTCTGGCCCAGTAACCACGCCGTTTTTTTGGGTGGTGAGCATTTGGGTGTAATTGGCATTTTTGATGGTTAGCAACTGGCATCATATGTCCCAATATAATTTTTTTCTCCTCATGAAATGATCTGGCATCCATTTTTTGAGGTCATCAAGTAAAATGAGATTGGAACATTACAGTCCACCTGCACAGACAAGGCTTTGCGAGCCATCAGGGTGCCACCACATCCCATGTGCAGCTGCGCCATAATAGAGGAAAACCTCACATAGTATCTTGAAACAAAATACCACCAGATGGCGCTATTTTTTAATCAAAATGTAATTGTATTGTTTTTGCCTCTCTCTCACACACACACACACACACACACACACACACACACACACACACACACACACACACACACACACGGCGTATATTACCTGCAAGCAGATGGCCAGGTTGACCCTGCATCCAAAGGCTGTGCTGACCGAACGCGGGTGCAAGCCGAGATCTTTGAAGAGTTTGGAGAAGGAGAGCGTGAGGGACATCCTGGGCCTCTCCTCGGCCACCACCACACACGCCCGCACCCGCGACAGGTCCAGACCACGGGCCTGCAGGACGTAAAAACCGCAAGCCGCCTCAGCATCGCGTGACCTCGCACGTCCGAGCGGCGGCTGTGACGAGACAGGATCTCACCTTGAGGGTTTCGGTTTGCAGGCCGAGACCTTTGGTGCAAAGTTCCATGACGCTGTAGGAGCAGAAAGTGTCTCGCACCCTCAACTGGCTGACGGCCAGCAGCCACAGCGCCGGGTTGGACTCCAGCTCCACTGGCGGGATCAGGATGGACTGGTGGCCTGAGTAGACACTGCATGCAAACACACACACGCGCGCACACACACGTTGAAAGCGAATGGTTGTCATGCCAGCAGTCATAGAAAAGGGTGGAAAACCGAGTTAAAGCGACAAAATAAGCGAGCTTAAAAAGAAAGGCCCAACCTGCAGAGACACCAGAGGACAAAGCCGAGGCCGCAGTACGGGTCGAGGCAGATGGCCACCTCTCTTGACGGGTACAACTCACACTGCAGCTTCACCGAGCGGCAGAACGCTCCCACGGCATTATGGGACATCTGTCAGGGGGGGGGGTGGCGAGGCGAGACACGAGGGCACGGATGATGGGAATGTTTGAAGCCAGCATGAAAGGGACAACGGGGACCCCCTGGGGGTCTAAATGGTGTTGAGGCCGGTCGGGGTCATGAACTGACCTGGACGCCGGCCAGCATGCCGGTGGTCGACACACTGAAGTCCAAATATGCCAAACCGTCAGGGTTGCTGGGTTTGTACAATGCCGGAGGTTTCTTCTTTGGCAGGTCGTCTGCAGCGCACACACAAAGGGAGGACAATGTGCTGAGCTGTTTGGTCACGGAATCCATTTTTGAGAAAAAAGAGAGTTAGGTGTCGAGGGCCACGACGCTCATTTCAATCAGGTCGAAAGTCCAGATCATCAGTTTTCAAATTCATGAACTAAAAGTATAACGTCCCCAGAAAAATAATACATGAGTAAAGTTCAGACACACCACAAAAATAAATAAATAAATAAAATAAATAAAATAATAAAAAAATCTGTGTGTGTGTGTGTGTGTGTGTGTGTGTGTGTGTGTGTGTGTGTGTGTGTGTGTGTTACCAGTGTCGAGGACGGGCGGCCAGTTCCTGATGTCCACGGTGGCCGTGGCCTCTTTGGAGCGGAGCAGCTTGCAGATGACGGCCGTGGTCATCACGCAGGCCGAGTGGCTGACCTGCAACGGGGGATGAGACGGCTCATAACTGCCGCGCGCGCCGCAAAAAGAAGCTTTTTAGAAAAAACAACGAGCAGCAGGGAACTTCCGGCGGGGCAGAAAGCAATTGACTGTAGTTGATTTATCTGAAAATGAAACAAAAGTTGAGCCACCAATTAAAAAAATAAAATAAAATCCAGCATCTGTGGGTGAGAAGATTGAAATTGAGTAATTTTCATAAATGATATAAGAATGAATACGCCTAAGCTTGTGCCACCCGGAAGTACATGTCCTGCCTCCGGTCAGACCTCCACGATCATCTTGACGGTGGGCAGCGTGGTGGAGATGTTCTGCGGATGGGGCGGTCGCACCGTGATGGGGACGCAGCCGGCGTACAGCGCGCCGTAGAAGGCGGCGATCAGGTCGATACCTGCGGGGCCGTTGCATGGGGTCAGCGGGGAATTCGGAGTTTCAAAACCGGATCAGTGGAGCGACTCCTACCGGGTGGGTAGACCAGAGCCACGTGGTCTCCTTCCTGCAGGCCGCCGCGCTCCATTAGCAGAGCCGCCACTCGCTCTGCCCGCTTGTGGAGCTGCAGGCAGGTGAGGGAGTTGGAGACTGCCCCCTATAGGCGGCAGAGGGAAGCGCAGCTTTCAAAACCGCAGACGAATGAGCGCCACATCCATTTATGACCCGCCCATCAAGACATTTGAGTGACTTTGAGGCGGTCGAACCATCACAGTACTCGTCGAGGCGCATCCTGGAGTGGCGTCCTTACCCGAGAGCTGAGCAGAGTGTAGAGAATGTGGTCAGGTGTTGTTTGAGCTCGCCACTGCAAAACCTCCGACAGGAACAGGAACTGCGTACCCAGGAAGTGAGTTGAGAGTGGAAAGGATGTCGAGGGAAAAAAAAAAAAAAAATTCTATTGAGATGATTCGTCTCACCTGGTCGTTGTCATCCGTCTGTCCCAGATCTCTCCCGCTCGCCTGAGCGATCCGCTTGCCCGACACCAGATTGCCCACCATCACGGAGGCGGGGCCGATCTCTGCAACACACGCCCGCAATCAAGCAGACACACAGGCATCCCTCAACACTTCAAAATGAAAATGTTTTGATGAAAATGAAAATTCGCAGAAATGACATCTTCCTAGAAGTACGTTGCGACCTTTTTTTTATTTTATTTTAATGTATACATTGAAAAACTAAAACTAACACTAAAACAAAAAAAAAACCCTTGAAACAAAGCATTTAAAAAAAATAAAAAGTAACAAACCTGCACTTAAAAACTAAGTAAAGGTAACGGAATAAACACACACACACACACACACACACACACACACACACACACACACACACGCACACGCACACGCACACGCACACACACTCAGACACGAGCGTGGTTCCCACCTGGCTGCTTCTGTCGAGGCTTGGGCAGGTTGCTGACGCAGGTGTGGGGGCACATGAGGACGTTGCAGGGGTGCAGCCCCCCCTCCAGGTACAGCTGCTTGATCTCAGACAGGTGGATGCCGCCCAGCGGAGTCTTGGGCAGCGTGTTGGCCGGAACCAGAGCCAAACAGAAGACGCCCACGCCGTGGATGCTGTCGATTGCCTGGCAGGGGCCGACGGAGGAGGGGGGGTAGGGCGGGGGGCAGGTGGGAGGGGTGATCGATATAAAAAGGGGACCATTCATGAAAATTTCTAGGCCACGTTAGAAGCGTTTGCGGTGTAGTGTCGGTGAACTTGAAGGCGGCGTGCGGCCTCCTACCTGCAGCACGCGACTCATCCACTGGAAGCTGTCTTCCTCGGTGGAGTCCGGCCGCTGCTCGGCCACCACCACGATCCGCTCGTCCCTCAGGACGGTCACGGAGAACACGGCTATCCTGCACAACCGTTATTAGATTTGGTGTCAGCCGTCGGCATCCGGCCGCTTGTTGGCGTCGTCCTCCATGTGACTCGTGGAGGGCTCACCTTCCCCTGTAGACGAACTTCATGGGCTCCACCGCCAAAGCCGTGGCCACGATGTCGTCGGCGTTGTGCCGGCGCCCGCTGACCATGATGAGGCCGTCCATCTTGCCTGTGATGAAGACCAGGCCTCCCGGTCCAATGAAGCCCAGCAGGCCGGTCCGCACGAAGGCGTACTCGCTCACCAGCCCGCCGCCGCCGCTCACCGGGTACACCTGCGGGGCAAATACGTCAGCGACTGCTCTTCCTGCTATGGAACTTCATTTCTTTGATTTCAAGATCGGTCGCAACTTTGGGTTGGAGGCAGAAAAAAAACGACGATGAGCTGACCTCGAAGGTGTTCTTGGTCATGCCGGTGAGGCCGTAGTAGGACGTGCCGGTGGCGATGGCGCACACGCACAACTCGCCAATCTCGTCCGTCTGACAGAGCTGAGGGACGCCTTCGGGCTTCACCACGCACACCAGCCCTGGATGAGCGCCGCGCACCCGAGTCACAACGCGATTTAAGTTTCGTGCCGAAGGGACGCAATTTATTTTGTGTACAGCCAATGAGAACGATTTAAAATAAATAACTTGCAACGTGTATGCGAGCTATGAAAAGGAGTTAATTGCATATCTGACATTTCAATTTTATTGGACATAATTTTATGGTACATTTCAATTTTATGGAATACAATCTATTGAATTAGTCGTTAATGACTTGATGAAATCAATTTCACAAAATGTTACTGGCGATGGATTTTTTTTTTTTTTTTCGAATATGGTTTATTTTGATGTGCTATGAAACAAATTGATCAATTATTGTGGTCAACTATTTTTGATTTTATTTATTTATTTATTTTTTCATCCGTGATGGCAGCTTACATATAGCGAGCCAGACAGACAGACCCTCGGGAGGCAAAACTGTGCATTCGTTGGCAACTAATGACTTGAGAAAACTGTACTAGCGAGCACGGGTTAACATGAAGATGTTTTTAAAAAAAAGAATAAAAACCTAAGAAACGCACCTCCCGGCATCACCGTGCCCACGTCTTGCACGGTGAGGACGGAGAGACGCTCCTCCGTGTCCACGCG